ACGGCGGCGGGAGCCGTTTCACTCATCGGGGCCGTCCCTCACGCAGAGGGCTGGCGATAAACGGGAACCCGGGAGGGCTCTACAGGCCGGGAGTCAAGCGGCCGCACTGACAGACAAGCTGAAATCCCGCGGCTGTGAGAGGAGGGTGGCGAGCTGGGCTCGGTCCCCTTGGTGGCACATAGCCACCGCGCCTCGGGAAACGCTCAAGGCCTGGCAGGCCACAGGGAGACGGCGAGGAGGGAGGGTGACGTGGGCTTGCCAGTTCTGGCGAAAGCTGGGAAGTGGATGTATGCTGATGCGTTTGACATTAATGTAAATGTCAAACGTGCGGCGGGCTGTGAGATCGCTCTCCCCTACCCAAGCTGCGGGAACAGTCAAAAGTGAAGGTTTGTGGGGATTCCTCTGACACTTGTGTGGTTCTAGAGAAATGCTTTTTCTTTTTTTGGAAGGCTGAAGCTCCATGAAGATTGAAGGGTGTGCCTCATTCACTCATATGACTGTATGTGATAAATCTGAAACAGTCCATTAAAAATGTGATTTCCTCCTCCACAGAATGTACTCATTGGTGCATGAGATTTTTTCATTCAGAGGCTAATTTTGTGTTGTCCTTGTTCAAGGCAAGGAAATGAACTAGACAAAACTTGGTGAATCTTTTCCATCTCTATCCCTGGAGATGGCTGCAGCCTGGTAACAGGTTATTCTGCTATTTCTTTCCCTCCTGGAACCTGCAGCTGGAAAGTCAGAGCTGTTCCAAGCCTGAAGTGCGGAAGAGAGCTATGTAGCTGTGTGGCCCTCATTATTTGGTCCTGTGCCATCTGCTGGCTTCCACACAGCAGATAAGCAACTCCGGAATAGACGCAGTCCGTGGAGGTGTTTGGCTTTGTCCGCAGCAGTTCAGGCAGTGCATAAAGTCAATTGCACACGTGTTTTGGGCTTACACACATGAAATGGGCATATTCTTCCGAAACAATGCTTAGTAGCTCAATTTAATGCCTTTGACTAGTACAGAGATAATTGCAGAAGATGAGGGGAGCATTCACTGTCACAAACCAATGGCTGGAAAACAGGTGCTGCAGCTGTTTCCACTCACGGTCCCCCCTGTTCATGATCCCTGTCTCTTGCAGTAACAAACAACCAATTCCTATCACCCTTAGCTGGCAAGGAGTCAAGACCAGGTAACTGACACACGCAGCTCGTTATCTCAAGAGTGGAAATAGTTGTGAAACAGCACGAGGGCAAGGTCTTAATGGGCAACAAATAAAGGGGAGTTCTTTATCATTTAGCCACTTATTCCTTACTGTATATGTTTGGTTTTTTTAAACACTATCGTTAAGAGCACATATTAAATGAAGCAGAGCTCATGCAGAATGTTACATACGTTTCACTGCTACGTTTGTACTATCAAGGCAGCTGGTTTGTTGGAGTGTACAAGAAAATGCGTGTTTTAAATGAAAAAGTACAGGATGGGCATATATACTTTAAATATGCCAGTTTTGGCTGATAAATACCTTTCTTTAAAATTTTTTAGGTGCTGACAAGGCAGTTGAGATGCGAAGAGTTATTTTCTTACAACTACATGGTTAAGTTTCACATGAACTTAACATTAAAAGTAGGGCTGAAAGGTGAAACACTCGTATGTCGGGAAATCTAAAGATTACAGACCCTCGTTTGACTCCTTTTCCGTGTATTTTCTAGTAGCTTTAGCCACGCGGTACACCGTCGGTAGTTTTTCTTCAACTTGTCCACCTCAATTTTTAGGGAAAACTGCCGCCGGCCGTCGGTCTGCGCCGGCGGGCGGGGCGGGGCGCCGGGCCGCCTCCCGCTCGCCGCCCTCTTTCCTGCCGCCGCTTGCAGGAAGTTGGAGACGGGGTAGTTTCGCTCCGCGCTGCTCCAGCCGGGGCTGGGCAGGGCTGGAGTGGCTTCCTCTGGGGGGGGGAGACCCTGCCATGGGGACGTAGCGGGCCGCGGAGCCATGCGCGGCCCGGTGCTGCCCTGCAGCTCGCTGGGGACGGTAAGTCGCGGCGGGGGCTTCGCCGCTGCCTACGGGACGGGACCGTGTCCCGGCGGGGCAC